AATTTATATTTCAAAAAGCAATTTTTTAAAATACATGTAAAAGTGAAAACATATTTTTATTTAACAGGCTTGTACATGTGTAAGCTATGTATTAGTTTATAAAGTAACAGTTTATAGACAATTATATGCCTCGTAAAAAAGAGTAGAAAGAGGAAATCAGTGAAATAAAATATACATTCATTTTGCTCAAGTTCAGAAATGCGTATGGAAAAATGTACGTTAATTTAGTATACTGTTATAGCTCTGAGAAGCGTTATTTCACTCTGGGAAGATCACGGCAGACTTTACTTTTATGGATGCCCAGTAGGTCTCCTACTACAATTTGGAATGCACCAGTTGCGTAAAATCTGTGAAAAGAAGGCAAACAATGTATTTCTTTTGATATGATCTTATTACAATGCAACATATTTGTAATGCACCTAAACCTCATACCAAAAAAGTTCCGTGCTGTGTTTTCTATTGTTGGGAGGTTGGTTGTCTATATCTGCCTTCAACTAGCGGGTAAAAATATAGAAAATGCCTGAGAAACGGCAGTTACTGACCTCAAAACTACCAGGAGCTGGAGTATCCCTGGTAACCCCAACTTTCTTCTGTCCTGGTGATGGGACGCAGTATCTTCGCTGAGTATCTCTGCATTTCTTTCGAAAAACGATATCTTCTGTGAAATTGTCGCGTGGGTTGCTTCGATCTCGATGCAAGATCCTCGTTGCCAGGTGCAGTGTCCTACGGAGACTTATTCTCCGTTTAAACTCATCAAATCGCTGGAAATACTTCATTTTCTCAGCCACTTCTCCGCTCGGCTGCGGTTTCAAACCAGCCTACGCCGCGGTCTGTAATTGCGAACCGTGGCTCGAGCCACGGTCTGAAAATGGCGGCGAAACTTCTTTCTAAGAAGCATTGGTTTGAAACCACGTCTCGAAGAAACCGCGTCCAGACCCCTTCCTGGAACCCTTTAGGTCGGGTCGCCGGATGCAGAAGCCGCATACGCGCGATTTTGGGTTATTGTCAACTTCCGATCAAACCGCCGGATGCGTTCGTCGCATCCGCGCGAGTTCGAAATGTTGGTAACGACGTCGTGGGAGAACCCGCTGTGGGAAGCCTTGTCGTCGGCCTCCGTTGCAGGAGAAAGTTTTATTTTCGTAAGCGCAGCCGCGCTCCCGAATTATTTATCAATTTTTTTTATTGTTGTGCGCACAGCAAACGCTGCTCCGCCTCTCGATTTAAGATTGTAAAAACGGGCGCAGAAAACGCTCTTTCGTGACAAGTTACCGTCGTGACTGTTCATTGGCGTTATTAAACGGAACGCAGCCTACTACAACCTGCCTTACTCGCTAGACTGAACATTAACAAGTGCGAAAATATTGGCGTTACGAGTTCGGACCTTACGCTTGCGAGCGCTCTGTGTACAACAAAAGGTGGGCACAAATAATTGCTAGCATTATTTGTAATTCAAGCATTCAACAAATAATTGATAGCATTGTTTGTATTACAAGTATCGATAATTTAGAGTGTTCAACGAAAATGATATCACCTCATTTTTATATGCAAACTTGGCTATATTCGAGAAAAAGTAAAAAAATGGATGTATATGTATATAATATCCTTATTTAGTTCTAATTTTTTAGAATGTATTTAACGAGGGAAATCCCTAATGACGAGGCTATTGCAAGGAACGCATTTACGTGCCAACCGGCAGAACTGGCATGTAGCTGGTGTAGCTTGGTTCTCCCACTCTAAATCCACTCCGCACTGACTCTCGACAGTGCTTCTCTCGATACGGCAGACGTTCGCGATGGAGCTTCCATACGTCGTACCCGCCAGGAGACAATTACGATCTGTAATTAATGTTGTGTGTGCTAAGAACAGAACCCGGTAAACATTCATTCAGTTATGTATAGTGTACGGAGAACAGTCCATGAGCGCGGAAAAAGTGCGCAAGTGGACCAGGAAATTTAAAAACGAACATACATCGTTGGGTCGGGTTTTCAATTCTTGGGAATATTCAAATGGTAAATATCTCCTAAATTTTCATAATTTCTACTTTTTTAGTTCAGGGTTTAAATTAAAAACCTTTCCTAAAATTATATTGATCGAATCCCGAATTTTTAATTACTTTTTTACTTAATTCAGCAATAGAATAGATTCATAATTGTCTCATATTATTATTAACATTGTTATTATTACGAAATATAATTATTGTTTCGAATATCATATCTTCAAATGTTTTCCGTTTCTCTGAAGACTTGAACGCTTGGCTCGGCTTTTCGCTCGTATGCTGACGAAATTCCCTGCCTTTCTAGTTTTTTTAGGAGTAATTCAAAAATACGTACGCAAACGTAGCTCCTTTTAAACCTCTTTGAAATAATTAGTAGTACTTAGTAACATTTTACTGACTTAAACAAGATCCTTCCAATCCTTTCTGTACCTACCTTGCTGAGTCACAAAATATAATTTATCTAAATTCGAGTCAAATCTCGTAGTGTACAATCTGATATATTTATGATTAATTTTAACACATCCATAAATAAATAATTTTAATCTCACAAATGCTGTGAGATCATTTCTCTTTTCTATTTACTCCTTCAACCCTCGCTTTCATTCCTGTTCAATGTGAGAAACCCTTCATTCAAATTGCTTGTGTATTTCTCTTTGGATGATCTTCTTGTCATGAAATATTGTATTAATTTTTTTAAAGTGGTCAGGCGGAAAAGCAAGCTAAATGCCCTGAGTCTCGCAACCAATAGGGATATTTATTTATTTTATTTACGTTTTCTTTGATGTTTGCTTTCTTTCAACAAGACCGCGTATTATACTTTTCGAATGAGTCGATATCTGGGGTCGTCCTAAAGTTCTACAACCTTGCAAGTGGATTGAGGTAGTGTCATTTTTCTCGGGTCTGGAGAGTTCCTGTGACCTGGTGTTTATTTCGTTCAAATAACAGAATTTTAGAAATTTGAACAATTTTCAATATTTTTCGGAGTCTTCCTACAACTACAATATTGAAGATATAGATTATTCTCCTCAATGAAAATTGTGACACAAAAACAATTGCAACAGAACACAAACAAACAGAATCCGGTTGTGTATATTAAAAAAATACTCATTCGCCTGACTTGAAATCATTTGCTGTTTTAAAAACAAGCAATTATATCCTTTACTTAGCCTTTTCACAAATAAAATTCATTGTCGGATGTTGTTACAACACCTGCATGTATATGTATCGAGTTACGAGACAGTAACTCGATTACTAAAAGCTGATTTTTTTATCGTTTCAGCCATTGTCTGATAACGAGCTGAGGTCGTGCCCACCGCTTATGGTGGCAGCCAAAAATGGATTCTCAAAAACAGTCTTACATCTTTTAGAATCTGATCCTAAGCCTAACCTGGAAGAAGAGAGTACCATTCAAATTAGAGGCCAAAATGACATTGAAGGAGTAACTGCTTTGTGGTGTGCAGCGGGTAAGTACTCAGAATCTGGAAAGGTTTATTTCGTGAATGCAAAGGTTGATCTCGGTGAGCGAGGGTGGCTTATACCACCACATTGCCATTTTGTGTGTTCTTATTATCTATTTACTCAAAACTGATACCATTTATTGATCGCATGGAATCTAAGGGAGTACTGGTTATAAATAATGGAGACATTGCGTCAGAGATAGTTCTCATGTAAAGTTACCATTTTGTTGCTTGCAACTATTTCTAACTGCCTTGTTTCAGAGGTTTCAAATGAACGCAAAAATGGAACCTGGAACTTTACGGGATATTTTATTTAACGCCTGAGATAGGCAGAATGATATACATGAAATTAATTTCTATGTTTTACTAAATATCATGTTAATATTTGTTGATATTCTGAGGTTGCGTGTGACTTACTCGTCGAAATAATAAAATAAAATTACGAATGTTCTCTCAGTAAAATTTTTTTTAAAGGAATGAAACATAAATTAATTATTAATTAATACTTTTTAAGAACATGAAAGTTGCCGCACCGGGTCATGTTGGTAGTGTCCACACCGAGTGTTTGCTGTGATACGGCAGCCGGTTTGAACTCGAGTTTAAATGTTACTTCCGGGCGCAAAGTTTTCACGAAAAAATGTCTTAAAGAAATTATCTTTCATTCGCCTATAGTAAGTTCCTGCTTTATCACATTACGTTCGCTTCACTTAACATGGCTGCACCGTTTGCACAAAACAGAACAGTCTTTCGTAATCCGTTTTTCCGATCTGAACGCATACTAATAGGTGAAAAAGTCCGTGCCTTGATTCTGAATAACCTATGAGTGAGTCTTGTTGAAGCGGCAAACCGTATGCATTACCTGGACCTCTGCGTTGCCTCATCATTGACCGCCAGGCACAGGGCTCGAGCCCCGACTCTTAACAGATTTGTGTCATCGGCTACTGAGCTGATTCTGCCCTTCGAGAATCGGCGAGCGATCAGCTGCTCTATTCAATGGTATTCTGTGGTTTCTCCCATTAATACCAGCCGAATGTTTGTTTCGTACGTCAACACATGAGTCACGGACAGGGCGCGATCGTTCCTCCCTCATCCTTCTCCACTTCTACAATAGCATACACATGGGTAGGTAAAAACATGTAATCTTACATAGTAAAATGTATTTTATACTTAATACAGATTAAGTGTGAATGCTTCTTTGTATAAATCCATATGGATTTGTAGACGATTTCCGCGGTAACCGTTCAGTACACACACACACAAACGCTAGTATTAACTGCACTACCCCTTTGCATCTGGAGACCAATCGGGGCTCTTAGAGCTCTCCCCACCAGAACAGTGCTTCGCTGGGGGGATACGCGGAGGAAGCCGACATGTATGTCAACGTCGAAACTCCCGTCACAGCTGGAATGAATCACCGCAACCTCTCCATAGAAGGATAGAACATGCTCCACACTTACCGGACTAATGTGAATATTTGTCGCGCTTGCAATCAGGGATTAATCACTCCGGAGCTGCTTGTTTTCTTGTTGGTTGCAGGCGCTGGCCACTTCGAGTGCGTGAAACTTCTGGTGGAGGCTGGGGCGAATGTTAACCATGCAACCAAGAGTAACTCCACGCCTCTTCATGTGGCATGCTATTCTGGGGTCCTTCGCACTGTTGAGTTTTTGATCCAGCGTGGAGCCGACATTCAAGTCCAGGAAAACCACGGCCACTCGTGCCTGATGGCTGCTACGTACAGAGGTTATCTGGATGTGTTATTGTTTCTTTTGGATAAAGGAACAGATTCTAACCAGAGTACAGTGTGCGGAAATACCGCGTTACATATTGCGGCGGAATGCGGCAACGTGAACGTAATGGTTCTCTTTTTACAATTCGGGGCAAAGCCAAGGAGAAACGCAATTGGTATTTGTGCATTCTTTTCCATTTGTGAGAAAAAATGTATGAAATCTATTTGTCACCTTGAACGCCTATGTCTTCTAGGGTTGAGTCCATTGCATCTGGCAACCAAATGCAGCCTGGCACATATGGTGGAATATTTAGTAACGCGGCCCGAATTTTGCAAAGAAGAGAAAGTGGACGCTTTGGAACTTCTGGGGGCTTCCTTTGCAAATAATCCAGATTTCTACAATCTGCCCAGCGCGTACAAATACATGCGTCTGTCAATGGAATTGAGGTACCCGCTTAAGATCCGTGTGTGTGAGGTGGGTGCGGGCGGTGCGATCTCACGGGAGCTGTTCGCTGTCGCAGGTTCAGCGACCCAGAGGCCCCGCTGCCCAAGGTGCTGGGGGAGCCTGTCGCCGCCTACGGGAACTGGGTGGAGTGCCAGAGCCTGGAGGAGCTGGAGCGCATCCAGCACGACGCGGCCGCCTTGCACATGGAGTCGCTGGCCGTCAGAGAGCGCATCCTGGGGCAGCGCCACCCGGAGGTGGCCGACGCCGTGGAGTTCCGCGGGTCGGTGTTCGCGGAGGACGGCAGATTTGACAGAACAGCGGAGCTTTGGTTCCACGCCTTATGCATACGCCAACAAAACAAAATGTCTGTCTTGGCGGACGTTATGCGCTTTGTAAAGGTTTGCCTTGATGTGAAAATGTATGTTAGTGTTGGATAAAAAAAATTCTTTGAATTATATTATGTTTTGTTTGTCCAGCTCTTCACCAGAATGTGGAGTGGGGATATCGATGTTAGGTTCTCCGTGGTCTACGGTGTCTTTTCTGCTTGCCTTCAAGAGATCCAAACGTGGAAGGAAGCACTGACTGATTCACGATTCAGTCGTCACGTAGATTACTACATAGTATGATTTTGTATTGAAATTATTAATTACTTATATTATTAGATGGACTTTTATCTCTATTGTAATAATTTTAGGATGGATATCAACGGAACATAATTGCCATAGTGAAGTTATTACTGGTAATATCTAGATTGCTGCACCGCTTTTCTTCAAATGAAAAGTTTACAATGCGACAACATATATTTCGATTAAATCGGGCAGAAATCAGAATGCGTGACAGGCAAACACTTCTTCACGCAGTATGTGGGAGTGAGGATGCATTTGCTGTAGAAGATGAGCCAGGACTGGCGTAAGAAATTTTTTTAAATAAATTTGAAGTATACAAATTTTGAGATTTATCTTATTCAAATATTAATTCTTTTCTAGTGTCCCGTGTATCCCAGCTATTCGGCTCCTTATTGAATGTGGGGCATCATTGAATTCAAGGGATATTAGAGGAAATACTCCTCTACATATCATAGCCACCCACAGGTATGTACTGATTGAGCCAGTATAATGATATATAATGATCTACCTAAACCTCCCTGAAACAGAGCCCTACCGCGGACCCTAAGACAAATTCAATTTTTTAAAGTTATTTTACATTTATTTACGTCAAAAACAGTTAAAACTGTGTGACGTGCTGTGGGGAGAAGTTCATTTGAAGCTAAACAAGGGGCCATCTCAGCATATGCTCAAAGATCAGGGAAGCTGAATAAAACCTGATCGAATACAACGGGCACTTCGTTTGAAAAGACAGCCAGACCAGATGGTAGCCGCTATATTGCATGTAGAGCGAGAAGTGTTGAGAAACATGAAAGTGGCATAAAGTGACAATTGAAGCGTCGGGTGGAACAACGTTGTAAGCGACACACTTTTCAATTTGCTATTTTTTATGGAACAATGTATGAATATGTTTTCCCGTTCATATTTTATTAGAATTGCCGCCGCGAAAACTTCGAGTACTATTTTACAAACTTAAAATAAATAAACATATTAGATGAACGAGGTAACCGCAAGAATCGACCGTATTCCACAAAAGAGCATGTAAGAAAAAATGTAAGAGAGCATATTGCATCATATGCCAAGCTGGAAAGTTATTCCCGCCACTGGGTAAACAAGCAACGCTTATCTGCAGATCTGAATATCACAATCATGTACTCGGAAAGAGTAATGAATAAGGTCAAGCATATTCACGTTTTCCAGCCGATTTATAATTTTCAGAAGTATATTAGAATAACAACGTTGTATATGTTTTGGATATGTAACGTTGCTCCGTGGAATGAAATTACATTCATTTGAACATTCTTTCTCGAGCATTTTCCTTATTAAAAGCCATTTCTTAAAACAGCTACGTGTGTCAGAAGAGCATATAACAGTAAAAGTTTGAGAGGTAATCGATTTCTTCGTCTCCTACCAGCCGACGCCCCC